TGTTGTTGTTGAGTTGATACTTATTCAAACGCAAAAATCCAAAGTATCTTTTGCCTTAGTTGGGACACTTCATCGTGTTTCATAGGATTAAACAGTTTGATTTCTGCATTAATCATGCTGTCTGAATCTTTCGTGTATTTCTTGTAACTGATGGAAAATGAGAAGAAAATTGGCTGTGATGTTCTCCAAACCCAGAACAACAATGATGTAAAAGTGAGTTCTCAGTGGATAGTCAGAGTCTGGTTCATCAGCAGAAACTTCCAGAAGACTGAAGCATGCTGTGATCACTCAACATTTGTACATTAATAGGAGTGGACTCGTGGGAATAACTGAATCAAAATCACTTGGTTTTGTAAATGAAGAAAAACCAAACCAAAAAAAAGTTGGTTTAGCATAATCATTATTTTCTCATTAACATGCCACTTGAATCAATGAAATCTCCACAGATCAAAATGGCAATGTTCTAAACACAGGAATGATGTAGTCTAATGCAATAAACAAATTCACTCTTTTATTTAAACATGTGCTTCTTGAGGCATGTACTTTGCAAGAATTGAATGCTGGACTGTTGTGCAGCTTCTAAACCCATATAAACCATGATCCTTACATTTGTCTCCTAACCTGGGACAGGTGTTCACTACATAGATAAGATGGTGACATTATAGGAGAAAAAGAAGAAACAGAGGATTGCCCAAGTTACAACAGAAAGGAAATGAGAAAATTTCTCTGGGGAGATATTACATAAGAGATTGTTCTTGGAAATAAAAATAGTATTGTGACTGATAGTACACAAAGAAAAATTAAGGAACTTGAAATCTGAATATATAAACCTCAAATGAAACTTGCATACATAACATGAAGGTCTAATTTTTAATCAGAAAAAAAATACGAATCACTATAAAAACTGTATCTTTGCAGCATTATTTTTATGTTTATTAACTTCTGATCAGAAATATCTTCGATTTTTTTTCTCCTAGACTCTACCTGAGGGATCCGGGGATGAGAGTGAGTGTATATTTATTGAGATAAAATGAAAGGGAATGGGAAGACATCGGGAGGGGCTTCAGTGAAGGCACACCCTCAAGCTAGTTTTGAAACTTGGTCAAACTGATACTGATTTCAAAGGACTGAAGCACTGCTGATTTGCAACTGAATTAGCTCTTGGGTAGACATTCCTGAATATGTGAGAACACTATAGACATTTAAGATTCAGTTAAGCGCGGTGGAAACTACCTTGGAAGTCGAGAAAGAGTGGCCTGGCTTTGTTTTATGGAGATATGTTAAGCAGAGGAAGCAAATGTCTGCCTTCTGAGCGCAAGTTACCATCATGGCATGTGCTTGGAGTTTGTGGCTGGGCAAATAGGTGATAGTGTGGTAGATTTCTTAGTAACCAATGTGACATAAACGAAAGCACCCAACAAACCAGGGCGGTGCCAGAGGGAAGGGTGTGACCCGTGCTTTGAGTAACTTGGTGCACCCTGGGAACATAACAAGGTCAGCAGTTGAAGGCAGTGTCGTTATGTTCCATTGGCTCTCTGTCTGTAGTGTGTTTTGTCTCCAGCCCTCAACTGTGCCGTTACTGTTTCTCTCCTGCTAGTTAATAGTTGGTGGATATTTACTTAGTAGTGGTACTCTGTCAGGCGTTCATCTGTATCAAAAATGAAGAGGAGGGTGGGGAAGAGACCAGATGCCCATGGACTGATTTAAAGTGGAACTGGATAATGACACAGCTATTCTGAGAGTGAAGGAATTCACACACAACCTCATTCCTTAACAAGCCCTATAGTTTTCTCTGGAATTCCTGGGGAATGAATACTGATTCTTGAACGAAGCTGATAGGGTTGATTGTTCTAACCGGGCCTGATGACTATGCCGCCTTCAGGTGGCATTCCTTTTACCATAGATGCTGGATAACAGCATGTATATTGATAGAATAATACCCATGTCACATTGCCTCAGGCAGGAAGTTTGTTTTAGTGTTGTTTGAACATGTCTCTTCAGCCTCTTTCTATATTGGAAACTTAATCCCAGGGCAAAGGCTTGGAGAGGGAAGAGCTTAGGAGCTGATCAGTATGTGAAGTCTGTGTCTCACAAGTGAATCAGTGCTGTTATCACAGAAGATTCACTGTAGCTGAGGTGGGTTCCTTGGGAAGGATGAGGTGAAAGTGGACTCTGTTTCTTGGAGAGTTGGTCTTTTTCTTCTTCCTCCTCCTCTCCCTCTTCCTCCTCCTCCCCTCCCTCTTCCTCCTCCTCCTTTATTGTCATCTTCTTCCTCTTCCTTCTTCTTTTTCCTTGCATAATGCTATAAGGCTGCAAGAAGACCCTCAGCAGATGCAACCTCTCAATCTTGGAACCCGAAACCTCCAGAATCAGAAGCCAAATATATTTCAGTTATTTTAAATTATGATTCTGTAGTACTTTGTTACAGAAACATAAGATGACCTGAACTTATTACATTAAAAGATGGTTTTTCCTCAACTTGTTCTTTACTAGAAAGGTGGTTTACCTCACAGTCACTGGGCACCATGTGTATTTTATAAAATTGTAGGGAAAAAAAAGCGTTATGGTTTTGTTATTTGAATGTTTCTGTGGTTACCAAGAGTGAAAAACACCACCAGTGTTTATCATGTTAACCCCCCCCCCCGCCCGCCCATCCCCAGGCCAAGGAATTATCTGCACCAGGCTTTCTGTTGAAATTTCAGGTTTAAAATGTTTGCCTTTCTTGTCTAATTTTATTTATCTCTAATGAACACGAGGGTACTATAGATGCGCATCTTTAAAACCAACTCACCCCTCAGTGCACCATGCATTACAGAGGAAGCTGTTTTCAACTGTAGAAGCCTTATAAGGGGGGAAGGAAAAGTGAAGGTCACAAAAACAGAGCTCTGTGGACAGCAACACACACTTGTGTGGTTTCGTGTTGTTGATAGGGTCCATGACTGTGCAGTGAGTGCTGGGTTTGTGGATGTTTTCTCCTGATTGTCCCCAACTGCTACTTAGAATGCAAGGTTGGAAGCAGGGAAGTTCAAGAGCAATTTGGCTCTACCAACCCATAGATGTTCAAAGGCCGGCTGCCACTGCCGCTGCCTGTTGCTGCAGGCTGTGGGACTTCCCAGGTGTCAAAATCCTGGTCCAATGCCCTTGCTCATAAAGGAGATTGCTTGAAAGTGCTCTCAGGATGCATGAAGCAAGGGTTTATGAGAACCCAGCCCCCCCCCCCACTACTTGACACTATAAAATTGGTTTGATCCCTTTAACACACTGAGTCCTGTCTGCTAAGGGTGTCAGAGGTAGGAAGCAGAAAGGAAAATGAACAAACAATGTCATTTCACCCTCATCTCGTTTCCAGTGATTTCTCTCTTAAAGCTCACTCCATTCGAAGAACTTTTACTGTGACCATAACATTTTCCTCTCACTCAAAAATGCCCAACCAAATGCCTTACCGCTTTAAATTAACTGGTGTTTTAGGAACAATATTGGTAGCAATAAAACTGAGCCTTGCTCATTTTCCAGCCCAGAATATATGTGAGGAACCAGAGCGAGGGTTTTGCATATACCACCCAGTAACCCACTTCATAGATGAGGACGCTAAGGCACAAGGGAAAAATGGCACTGATAAAGCTGTAGGTGCCAGGCTGAGGACTTTGGTCTTGAACATCTTGTGAAGGTAAGCATCATGCTTATATCTGTGTTTTGGAAAGGTAATTAGGTTATCATCCTTAAAAGTGCCATTGAAAGCAAAAGTCACCAAAAAAACTAATTGTGTAATCACCAAAACCACTAATTTTGTCCCCTACTTTCCCCCCTAGATACCTGTGCACCTTGGCAGCATCTACACACTAGGACTGTTTTCATGTATTCCTCATTCTAGAGCTATCCCCTTCCTTAAAGGACTCAATTGCACATGCTCTATCTTCTCTTAGAAGTTAAAGCCAACAAACAGTTCTACACTGTCAAGTTAGGTTGAACCCGGCAATCATGATAGATTGTGTCCACTCATGAGCTAGTGTCTATATCTTCTTCTTGTGTCAATTAGAGTCTGCTTTCCTGCTCAGTAAAGTAACTTGAATAATAATCTCACCCCCAAGATTTCTCTAACCTATGCATGTTATTTCACATGACAAAAAGGCTTCACAGATGCATGAAGGCTTTTGAGTTAAAAATGTTCATTCTAAATTATCCAACAGGGTTCTAAGAATCTGCCAAGGGTTTTATAAGACCAGACGAAGGAGGGCATGATATCTAACCAGTATACACATATCACAGCATCTTCCTCTTTCCCCAATGTGTGGTATTTGTCTTCTGAAGTATGAGTGTAAACCCATCTGGTCTCACTCCTTCGTCCCTTGGCTGCTTAGCATACCATAGTATGAGGGGATGTTAAAGAAAATTGAATGGCAAATAAGGCTCCTCTGAGTCCAGGAATCCTGCAGAAAGTCTAACTAAGACATCCACATGTTTAGAGCAACAGTGAGGTGGTAATTAACAGCTCCTAGTAGGACTCGAACTCGCCAGGTCAAGATCCCCTACAAGCAGTAGTATGAGAATAAAAGCTATTTTTTAACATTTCATTTTTGAAACATAAACATTCTTCAAGAACTCATAAGCAGAAAAGTATTTCCGTATGATGTCTTGAAAGTATCAACATATTAGCATTATGTATTCATTCTAATCTTTTATTTTTATGATAATCTTAAGAAAATGGAATTACAGTTGGATTTAGGTACTTATTTTCAAAGACGACTTACCATGTTAAGTCCCATTGATGGTTTTTGACAAAGCTAATTACAACACAAAACTAAAATCTAATTATGAGACAATGTAATTGAATAAGTATGCAAATATTCATCACCTGCCATACAACCTGTAATGCCAGGCAAACTCAGTTCTTAGACCAAAACTCCCTTCAAAATATTTTTGTTTAAATTTTTGGAGTAAGTTTTCTTACTCGTGACATAATTTTTTGCTTCATTACAAAAATAGCTTGACTTTATGACAACTTGGTTCAATGCATTTATTTAAATCTCAAAGGATAATATAAACATCGGAAGACTGCAGTTACATTAAAAGTCAACAAGATTCCAAAAATCCCATGTAACACATTGCACATTTAAGGCAGCTGGTACCTAACTCTCCAGGATTTTCCTGATTACTTTCTTATATAGGGGTGCTTGCCGGTCCAGGCAAACTTTCCTCCCATTCTTCAGGGTGGCTCTGTCAGAGAGAAAAGGGGGGGAAAGGGAAGGAATTACTTTTCAAACCCTTGATTGGAAGAAGGGAAGAGAAGGGAAGGAATGGGCAGCGGAGGAGAGGACAGGCCTGGGGGATGTGGGCAAGACTCACAGGAGCTGGGGAACCGCACAGTGGCGTCCTGCCTTGATCACCTCCAGGCTGGTGATGTGCTTGGGATGGATCCCAGAGGAGATGGTCTTCACACACACACAACTAAGATCGCCATCGCTTTCTTCAGGACTAGCTGAGGGTAAATGGGGAGAGAAAGAGGGGAGTAGAAGAGATAATGGTGGCCCTCTCATCGGCCAGTGGTACCTCTGGACCTTTTCCACATGCTTGGCTAGAGCATCACCTTCCCCTCAGAAGGCAGGTGGGTAGTGCAGTGCAGTTGGCAAGCCCATACAGTCTGACTGCCCGCGCCTGAGGCTCCTGAACTGTCTTCCTGCCCCTAGGATCCCTTCACCCAATCTCACCGCTGGTGACAGCAACCACAGCTGGCAGAAACAACAGGACCAGAAGCAGCAACTCAGGGCTAGGCCGGAGGCTTCTAAACATCACAGCAGCGCTCATGTCAAGAGGGTGCCACTGGATCCAAGGACAACTACCTCGGGGTAACTGGAGTCTGGGGCTTTAAGCTCAGGCCAGTGGCTCCTGGAACCTTCCAGGCAGTTTTTATCTTCACTGCCAGCCCAGTCCGGAAACCCAGGATACAAGATGAGGAAGTGCTCTGCAGAAGCGATGACACTTGGGGAACATTAATTGGTATCTGGCCAGCCAAGATTAAAACAGAGCAGGGAAAAAAAAAAAAAGCTGAGGCCAGCTATCTTTACAAGTAGCAGGCAGCAGGATCCACATCTATAATGTAAATTTATAGGAACAATTAGAGTTAGAAACAGTAAGACTTGGATTTTTGCAAAAGGTATGCTGTATGTCGCAGAGAACTTCCTGTCATCGCCATCCGGTTTGCAGAACAAATACCTTCAGTACCAATTTGTTGCCTTCCCGACTTCCAGTTTCGTTATCCCAAACAGCCCGTCTGTCACTCTTGCTGTCGACTGCAGTGAGTTTGACTACTGTGTGGGTAGAGACGTGTGCTTGGAAATTTATCTTCTGCCACGACAAAAAAGATGAAAGTTCATGTCTAGGCAATGACTTCTGACTTTCATCCTCATATGGAAGCTTTCCTGAGTCTCTTGGATGAAATTCTGGAGGCTCTTCTAACTGCTGTCCAATCTTCTGCAGGAAACAGGACCTGCTGTCCCCATCACCCTTTAGAAAAATCCCCGAAGTAGTATTTGAATGCATTTCTTTGCTTAAAAAACAATCTTTGAGTCCAGCTATTTCTCTATTCAGCTCGACTCTGGAGAAGACAAGATAAGAGTGTTCTGGGACAGTTCGAGATCTCTATATTAATTTATGCTATATATGGTTATAATTATGTGGCCCATTATCTGTCCCTCACATGTAGTGACATAGTCAAGCATAATTCCCTAGGACATATTTCTGAACACTCAGCATAGACTACCACAGGCTACTGAAGAACATCCCATAATTCCTATGCATTTAGGGAACTGAAACTCAAGGCCTCGCCTAGGTCAGAAAAAAAAAAAAAAAAAAAAAAAAAAAAAAAAAAAAAAGGATAAGAGGATTTGAATCTGGACAACAAGGAAGCTCTTCTGTACAGCCTTAGCCAAAGATTTCAGCATTCACAAAGTAAAGGAATTCAGGCAATGATGTCAGGTAAGGCAGCCTTTCTCTAAATTTGAAGGAAAGAATCCTGTTTAGGTGCACAACAGTAAAAGATACTTTCATCTCAGGAAGAATAAGCACAGTGCAAACAGTACCATGGTAAGAGCCAGTCTTGATAGCTTTCATAGAGAGACCACCTCAGAGACACACAGCTGTTTACCATAATTGGAGAAAGACTAGTAAAAATGGCTCGAGTCTCTGTTCACTGCTATATCACATGTTTATGGACACTTGTGTCGTTATACTGAATTAAGTGTTCATTTTACAGATAAAACATCTGAAGGCCTGAACCTCTGGCGGTGAAGGGACAGAAAAGGAAACCCTCCATCATGCTGAATTTGAGTGAACTACATGCTTAGCTTATAAGTGTGCCCCAAAGTCCATGTACAGGTGGGAGGAGGTGAAATTTTCTCTTCCTCCAGGACCAGGATACAGTATGGGAGTTCTGTATCAAATAGTATCCAATGTACCTATAACTGAAGTGATATGTGCTGTCTTCTTAGGGAAGAAAGAAGTAGCAAAATGGTCAAGATCCACTGATGCATTTATTTTCTAAGGCAGGTTTCTTTGGACTCTGTTGGGATTTGAACCCAGGGCCTCTCACATGCTGGACAAGCACTCTACCACTGAGCTACACTTCTAATTCAAGGCAAGTCTCATGTTCTTAAACTTCAGGTTTCCTCCCTTTCTACAATATGGGGAGGGCTAGCAGTTCTGCTAATGGCCATATCCTAACGATTATATGTGAATTGTATTCACACAGTATTTAAAACACTTTTAATTAAGTCCTTTCCTTTCTCTTACAACTCTATTAAACAGCAAGAGATCATTCCCATTTTAGAGATGAAGAAACTAAACCACAGAGCAGGTCAACAACCTGACCAGACATAATTCACTACTAGGCAAGGTTAATAAAGCTCTGGGGGCTATGTCTAGCATCTTTCTATTCTTGATAGTGTAGGGCATTAAAAATAGCACAACTTAGTGGCTTTGTCTGGTAATATTGATAAATAGAAAAATTAAAAAAAATAGAGGCCAAGGAATGTAGCCCAGTGGCAGAAAACTTGCTTAGCATATATGATGCCCCAAAGTTCAGTCTGAGAGAGAGAGGAAGAGGCAGAGAGAGAGAGAGAGAGAGAGAGAGAGAGAGAGAGAGAGAGAGAGGTTCACTAGGGGATCAGACCTATCACATTTCTTTATTGCAGACAATAGTGGAGTTTTTGAAACACAATTTGTGTTAAACCTTTTTTTCAATTTTTACCTCATACTTTTGGTCCTACTGGTGTTGCACATATTCATTATAAAGGAAATGACCAACACTTGCAGAATTTACTTCCTAAGACTTTATTGTGTTCGGTTTGAAGGTTAAATCACATGTTGTAAGACATTGCAGAGGTAGCTTGGGAACCAGGTATTCTAGGGATAAGAAACTGGAAAAACCCTTGTAACCAAATATCATGGTCATGACCAGAGCAAAAAATGTTCTGCTTATCTCCATGTGGTTTCTATTACAATTGACCACTATGAAATTTGTCAATATATATGTACATAAAAACAGTCAATGAATAAAAACAGCTGCCATGGATTTGAAAGAGAGCAGGGAAAGGTACAAGGAAGGGTCTAGAGGGAGAAAAAAGAAAGGGAAACGATGTAATTATAATCTCAAAACTAAACAAAATAATTTTTAAATATATAGAATGAAAATTTGACATAGTGCATCTGGAAAGAAAAGCTTGAATAAAGAAATGCAGAACACGGCACAGTGTTTGGCCAAGAATTGCAGAAAGATGCCATAAACTGCAGGTGACAATTTGGCTTGTTCATTTTCATCAGAACAAGGAATCAGGGAATTACATCACTTCCACTTTGGAACAGTGAACTCCTGGCCTGAACACATTCACAAGGGAGATAGAACTGACCAAGATCCCAGAGATTTTATCATTCTTACATCTGCAGTGATCAGTATATTGGTCCAGATTATTAGCTGCACTGAAATGCAATATTTAATAATAACTATGCATTACTTGCCTAACATGTAAATTGAAGGCGGTTGTCCCTCTTTCCCACAGATATTGTGAATATGGTCTGAAAATTTGAACGACGAGGCTAGCAGATTGTTGTCCACATACAAAATGCCCGTAAGTATGTTTTCCAATTCTTAGTCATTATACCTTCCAAACCCAATAGCACTGATACAATGTGTGAATATCACCAAGTCCCATCATCAGCACCACAAGCCTCAGGACCTCTTGAATACAAGAGGAAGGGAAGCTGCTTCCCACATTCATCTTTCCCTGAATTTCTCTTACGTTTTCCAACTGTAAGGGGAGCCAGCCCAATGAGGAGCAGGCCCAGCAGCAGCAACACCTATAGGTTATGAAGTCGGCTGGCCCTGATGCAGGAGAATGTAGGTCTGAGTCTGAAGCCCATAGTGAAGAAGACAGAGTTAGAACTGTTTCCAGATCCAGAAAACTCAATGCATTTATATGTATATGTGTATATGTATGTGTATGTGTATATGTATTTGTATATATTTATGGAGATACACATTAAACACATATGCACAGAAAGATTGTTCTGAACAAAAGCATAATTCTAAAGGAGTTATTACAGATTTACTCAACTTCCAAAATTCACAGTGAAATAGAATTTTTAACATTATTCATAAATTTTCATTTTCTGGTCAACAAAAAAAAAAACTCTCCACATTTTTGACAGTGTTTATTGGCTTCACTGTACATTTTTCTCTGTGTTTAACACTACTTAAACTTCTTTTCCATGTTCAACTATTACAATTCCTCTAATTCTTTGAGGGGGACTCTATGAAGTATCTTCTTAGGTGTAAGAACACTCAGTGTAGATGAAGCTGGCTTCAAACTCACAGTGGTTCTGAACCTGTGGATTTTTGACCTTTTGAGGAACAAACAACCCATTCAAAGGGTGGCACATCAGATATCCTGCATAATATATACTTACATTGTAATCATAAAAGTGACAAAATTACAGTTATGAAGCTGCAATGAAAGTAATTTTATACTTGTGGGGTCACCACAACATAAGGAACTGAGGTAAAAGTTCACAGCATTAGGAAAGTTGAGAGTCACTAACTGATAACCTAGAGTAGGTTCAATCCTCCTCCTCCTCCTCCTTCTGTCTCCCAAGTGCTAAGACTGAAAGCATGCCCCATGATGACCTGCTTTAAGTCAATCAGCAAATGCATCTTGTCACAAAAAAGTCCTAGTCCTCAATCTTCAGAAGGAGATAGCAACAAACTAATTGCCATGTAAATTTTACAAGCTTCATTAGTCAGCCTTGAGATAAAACATCTATTTGGTAGTTTCTGTTTATTCAAAAATATTAAATAACTATGATGTGCCAGACTTTATAAAATTCTTATGTGACAGTAGTAACTTTCAACACTATGCCTATCAATTGAATAAACTCCTTCTGTTTCCAAGGTATATAAAAGATAAAGAGCAATGTTGATTCATCGTGAAAGTGTGTAAAAAGTATCTTATAACAGCTATTCCATTAAAAACAGCTGGTTCGTATAAAACTATAATTTTTATGCAGAATAAAAAAATGAAGAGATAGCAGAGTCTCTTAGCTCAAAAATAACTTTACAGCCTTTATATAAATTAACCTTTCATTGCCACTCCAATGTTTTTTAAAATGTGTGGTAAATTATTTTATCTATTTTCCCCTTAAGCCACTTTATAAATAGCAATCACTACGGAAACAAGCAAGTTTCTATGACTCAAAACAAAACCTATCTATTAGCTGTTTTTTTAAATGGCTTTTGGAAGATTAATTATTCATTAAAATAAGGACACATTAGCTCTGCTCAACACAGAGTTCTGGACTGTGTGCTCTTTCAGATTGCTCTTGTAAGTACTGAGGAAATGAGTAAATCTTCTGAAAATCAGGTTGAAGAGCAATTGGTGCAGAAGATGCTAAGGTCAGTAAAGTTTTCCATTAGTTAAGGTTTCCTAGCACACTGAGAAAGAAGGCAGTAAAAGATTTTTTTGGGCAAGATGGAAGCAAATGTTTTCTTCCTACTGCTGAGCTGACTGAAACTGAGCAGATCTCAACAGCACTGAGACTCACAGTACCTAAGTATCTCCTTTCTGCCCAGAGGAAAGTGTGAAGGGAGGTTTGTGCAGGACGGACTATCATCCCAGATACTGCTACCCAGGAGCACTACCTCCTCTGCATTTGCTGAGCATCAAATGCATGGACATGAGTCACTTGCGTTGTGTGGACATTGTTTAAGGACATTGTTACCTGAGGCTGCTTCAGAACCTGAGAAGCAGGTAGCTCTGTGCGAAGTTCACTTTTAATAGAGTGGCTTGGAATAATTCATCTTTTGAAGGCTTGTTTTATTATTGCATTTGAGGTTTTGGTGTTGTCCTCTCCCCTGCTTTCTCTTTAGTAGAGATGGGTCTGGTTAACTGGGCACAGATATCACTGAAAACTTAAAATGGCTGCCTCTAATTGGCTGGCTGGTGCTGGCTGGTGCTGGCTGGTGGATCTCCTCTCTACATGATCCTGCCTTTCTTCTTCCCTTCTCCACCCTCTAATCCATGCCTCTGTCCACTCAAAACAAACAGCTTTGTGCTGACAAGATTGTTCTGTGGACAAAAACACTAGCTCCAAAGTCAAGTAGCTCACATTTGATCCCTAGAACTCATTTGACATGACATACCAACTCTCCCAAGTTGTCCTCTGACCTCCATGTGTGTGAGACACTTATGCCTCTTCACAGAATGAATAAATGTCATTTTTTTAAAAATAAAAACAATTGCTTCCTGGTGAAATACTGCATTTTCTATAAGAAGATGTGAAGAGACTGGATACTTACTTCATCATAATCATCCCAAGTTACAAGGATCCTGCACAATGTCTGGTCTGCTGTGTAATGACATTGCATTGTCAGATGGTTTAGGTAGAACAATTGGTCATACATTCGATAAAGCTGTTACATAACTGACACAGAAATGTGTCTATAGAGAATGGAGACTTTTCTCAAGTCTTTTGACATAAATTTAGAAATAAATCCTTAAAGTACTAACTTCGCTCAAATACAGTCGCGATATGCATGAATTTATAAACTATATGTGGCTTGTAATATCCAGAGCACTGTTTTCTCACTGAGAATGGGAGTCTGAATTTGGACACTAGGACAGCAGCCATAATTCCAAGATAGCCCTCAGTGCTCCCTAGTAAGGTAGGAGTCAAAGTAGCATGCAGGTGACAGCATTGAGGAATGAATAGCTGTGTAAGTTGTCAAGGCTGCACAACTAGCAATATTCAGAAGTAGAATTGAAAGGCACTGTCCCTGGCTGTGAACTATACCCAAGCTGCAAAGGGGAGTAGCCAAGTGCTTTAGAGAAGAGAACCAACTCTTTCTTTTCATCCAGCTGAAAAGTAGATCAGGGCAAGTGCTGCAATACAGTTGAGAAACAAGTCCATGAAGATACATTTCCACAGTGGATATATCTTGGCAGATACTCTAAGTTTGTGCAACAAGATGCTGATATTGATATTCACAGAAACAAAATCTTAGACTAACATATAGGTCTCCCTCTGTCATTATTTCTGTCTTCTATTTGGAGGTCTGAACAGCCCCTCTCAGGACACTAGTATTAATTCTCTGACTAAGAGTGAACCCAGTGTCCCCTGCACCCTAAATCAGACACACACTGCACATTCTGTTTCTCTTCCATGGCTTAGTCACAGAGGCAACTACAATTCCCCAGATGCTCCTTCTGTGTGGCAAAGTTCTGCTTCCATGACATCCAGGAAGGATTTTCAAGTTAAGTTTAAGAGAGTTTACCCACAAAGATTCTTTTCCTCATGCAAGCATTAAAAACAATGTGAGAAATACAAAACCACTAGTCATAGTTTACCATAAATCTGTCATACCTTCAGGAATTAAATGTGTCACACCCAGAGGCAAGCAGAAAGTCTGGCATACTGATCAAGGGACAGTACAAACTACAGATTACCTGAACCAAGGCAGGTACACAGACAATGGTAACCAACCACATATTTAAGGCCTAGTGACCTCATGTGTATGAATTTCAGAGAGTGAAGGGTAGAGGTTAGTGTGAAGCATCAAGGAGACAGACATATATAAGACATCCTTAGAAGATGGTAGATTAATATCTCCAGATGTTTTCAAGAGGAAGGATCAAGTGGTAGTGAAGTGGAAATAGCTGTCACCAAAGTTCCTGTATAAACTGTACCTTTGGTGATATACCAAAACCCATTTGTTCCCTATAGAGTGACGAGTTGGAGAACGGCCATGGCACCCAGAATTGCAAGCACAACACAAATTCCAGTGAGTCTGCAGTCTAGAAACAAATGAAACTTTTACCTTTTGCATGTGGAGAAAAAAATAGCAACAAAATTATACACATGACAAAGGAAAAATAATCAGTAGTGTTCCTTTATTCACAAACTTGTATTTCATCATTAAAGGGTATCTGCTGTTTCCGTTTATCTCTCTTGGGCACTTAATCAGGAAGAGACCATTCTCATTAAAGACTATTCAAAAGTGGAATTTAGAGTTCAAGTATTTCTGGCAGTCTGGTTTGTGTCTTGGTGTTTCCCTCAACTCATGGGATAATAACATTTGTTAGTTGAGAGATTAAAGAAGCTACTGTTCAAGTTCAATGTGTTTTTCTTTTTCTTTTTCTTTTTGTAACTTAGAGGTATTTTCTACTTTCCTATATCACTAAAATCTTGTAAGGAAAGGCATACTTTTAAGACTTTGTTAAGCCATGTTATATTTTTGAATCTCCTTTCTGTCTTCCTCTCTATCTCTTATAAGATACATCAGCATATGATAGTACAAAATATATCAATTGAGTTGATATTTTATATACAATGAGAGAGATTCAATGTAAAGAAAAGCACAGTTTTTATATAGCTAATAACATATTAATACACATCAGAATATGAAAATACAAACCAATGTTTGTGTGTATACTACTTTACTTGTAGCAGGTATGTATTTGTTTTTGAGTTACACTAGTATTCTTTGCTGTTCCTAAAAATGGACTATTTCTACAAATTACTATCTTGTGCTGGAGAGAGAACCAGGATTCTTTGGCCTAGATTCTGGGTCTATTTAAATATCTACTGTGCCCTAAGCACTCTCTTAGGAACTGCAGTGAACATGACAGGTACTGCCCCTACTCTCACGAAGATCACAGTGATGTTGGACTAAACAGACACTAAACACTTTTGCATACAAAATGTTACAAAGGAAAAATGCAAAACCCTATGAAAAAACAAAAAGGAGTCCTAATCTTCTGGTGGATGGGGGAGAGCTCAGGTTTTGTTTTGTTTTGTTTTGTTTTGTTTTGTTTTGTTTTGTTTTGTTTTGTTTTGTTTTGTTTTTGAGGAACTGAGAGAGGATTGAAGTCTGTCACATGACTTTACCTGGCAATATTGATAAACAGAAAAATTAATAAGAAACAAAAATAGAGGCTGAGGAATGTGGCCAAGTTGCAGAAAAGTTGCTTAGCGTACATGATGCACCAAAGTTCATCTGAGAGAGAGAGAGAGAGAGAGAGAGAGAGAGAGAGAGAGAGAGAGAGAGAATATAGTAAAACATTTACTAGGAGATAAGACCTATCACATTTCTTTATTGCAGACAATAGTGGAGTTTTTAAAAATAGTTTGTATCAAACCCTTTTTCACCTCACACTTTTGGTGCTACTGGTGTTAAACACATTCACTATAAAGTAAATGACCACTGCTTGCATAATTTACTTTCTATGCTTTTATTGTGTTCGATTTGAAGGTTAAAACACATGTTGTACAACATTGCAGAGGTTGCTTGGGAACCAGGAATTCTAGGGATAAGACACTGGAAAAACTCTTATAACGAAGTATCATGGTCATGACAAGAGTAAAAGTGCCCTGCTTGGCTCCAGGTAATTTCCATTAAAATTGTCCACTTCAACATTTGTCAATATATATGTATATAACAATGCTTAATGAAAAAAAGCAGCCATGGATCTGAAAGAGAGCATGAAGGGTACATGGAAGCGTTTGAAGGGAGAAAAAGAAGGGGGGAGTGATGTAATTATAATCTCAAGACTAAAAGAAATAATTTTTAAATATACAGAACAAAAACTTGACATATTACATTTGGAAAAAAAAAAGCTCAAATAAAGAAATGCAGAAAACGGCACAGTGTTTGGCCAAGAATTGCAGAAATATACCATCAATTGCAGGTTACAACTTGGCTTGCTCATTTTCATCATTGTTTGTTTGTTTTTTGTGACATTCTTTAATATGCCTTCCCAGAATACAATGTGGCTTCTGAGACTGAATGAGAGACTATCCCAATTTCAAAGGGGAAAATAACTCTACAAAGCCCAGATTTCAAACCCTCAACTGCTCCTGCACAGTAAAATGGTTTGGAACAGACAAAGCAGCTGGTCAATAACCATTCAGTATTTTCATGACGATTTTCTGGATGACAGGGGCAGTTGGGTCCAGGCACCTTTTTTCTCCATTCTTCAGTGTGGCTCTGCAAAGGATAAAATGACTGTCTGTGTATAACATCCTCTCTGTCAGAACAGATCCATGAGGAGGGAGGAAAGAGTAGAGAGAGTTCCATAATGATAATAGCAGAACAAAAATTCAGACACTTACATCACTTCCACGTTGGCACAGTGAACTCCTGGCCTGAACACATTCACAAGGGAGATAGAATTGAGTGGGATTCCAGAGACTGTATTTGTACATCTGCAGCGCAGTTCAAGATATGGGTCCATGTCATTAGCTACATTGAAGCACAAGACTTAGTGACTATGCATTATTTTCCCTCCTTTCCTAATATGTAAATTGAAGGCAACTGTCCATCTTTCCCACAGACATTGTGAATATGGTCTGAAAATTTGAACAACAAGGCTAGCAGATTGTTGTCCACATACAAAATGCCCACAAGTATGTCTTAGAATTCTTAGTCATTACATCTTCCAAACCCAGAAGCACTGCTGCAGTCTGTGCATACCCCCAAGTCCCACCACCAGTAACACAAGCCTCTTGAATACAAGAGGAAGGAAAGCAGCTTTTCACATTCATCTTTCCCTGAATTTCTCTTACGTTTTCCAACTGTAAGGGGAGCCAGCGCAACAAGAAGCAGGAGCAGCAAGACCTGTAGGTTTTGAAGTGGGCTGGCCCTGGTGCAGGAGGATGTAGGTCTGAGTCTGAAGGCCATAGTGGAGAAGACAGATCCAGGAGAGTCAATGTGAGGATGAACCATTGCCCAAAACACTGCTGCCATATGGCTTTATATGTCTCCAGACCTCCTTTTATACTGATGAAGAGGTGAGGAAGGGGAAATGAGTGTATGTGGCTCATAGCCATAAAAGGATGGTCAAGTTGTGTCCAACCCACATCAACCAGACAGGTTAAAAAATCCTGCAGAATTAACTACAAGCTGTGCATCAGTTCATCTACATTCTTGCTGGCACTCTCTGTGTCTGACTCTTACAGATGCATAAGCCCCTGACTTAGAGGTAAGACCTAGGCCAGAAGACTGTAAGCATTCTCTCTGTGTGAGCAAGTAGTCATGGGCCACACCTTTCCTATAATGTAGTTTTGGGGCGTGGTAGACTCCATACATACTTTCAGTCACAAGCATGTGGTGTTTGAGAAGGAGCTTCTCTACTCTCACCAAATAACAAAGACAGTTCCTCTGTTGGTTCTTAGTGGGTATCGGAATTTGCAAGGCATGTAAGGTAAAAATAATTGGTCACTTAATATAAAGGATTCACTTTGGGTGTGAGCTTATGGGCTTATGGGCTTCTCTCTGTCTTTTATGTAAACTACCTTTTTCAATTTTATCCAAATAGTATAAATAAGAATTTATTTAATAAAAAATTACTTGTTTCTACTGTGTGAGTGGACGTGAATACCAAGACCAACATATTTGTTGTCTCTTTTATTTTAATGAAATAGTCATACATTCTAGACATATGAAAAATTAAATATTTTCCTTCCACTTCACAGTTACTTCACACTATTCCTTTCCAATGGTAGCAATCTGTAGCTAATTGAAATTTAGTATTACTATACTTTATGCATATATATATATATATATATATATAATGTGTGTGTATTTATGAAGACACTTATAAAATACATATGCACAGAAAGATTGTTCTGAACGAAAGCATGATTCTATAGAAGTCATTACAGATTTTCTCATCTTCCAAAATTTAGAGTGAAATAGAAAGAATTTTTAACATTATTCATAAACTTTCATTTTCTGGTCAACACAAAGAACTCTCCACATTTTTGATAGTATTTATTGGCTTCACTGAACATTTTTCTCGTTGTTTAACACTACTTAAACGTATTTTCCATTGTTTTTCATTGTTCAATTGTTAAGATTCCTCTAATTCTTTGAGGGGGACTCTATGAAGTGTCTTCTTAGGTGCAAGAACACTCAGTGTAGATGAAGCTAGCTTCAAACTCACAGTGGTTCTCAACCTGTGGGTTTTGATCTTTTGAGGGTCAAACAACCCATTCAAAGGGTGGCACATCAGATATCCTGCATAATATATACTTACATTGTAATCATAAAAGTGGCAAAATTAGAGTTATGAACTTGCGATGAAAATAATTATATGGTTGGGGGTCACTACAACATAAGGAACTGAGGTAAAGAGTCACAGCATTAGGAAGGTTGAGAACCACTGCTCCATAGGCTAGGATAGCTTTGAATATATTATCCTTATTATTATTATTATTCCTCTTCCTCTTCCTCTTATTCTTCCTCTTCCTCCTCCTCATCATTCTCCTCTTCATTTTCCTCCTCCTCCTCCTCCTCTTCTTCTTCTTTCTTCTTCTTCGTCTTTGTCTTCCTCTTCCTCTTCTTCGTCTGCTTCTGTTCTGCTTCTGTTTCTTCTTCTTCTCTGTCTCCCAAGTGCTAAGACTACAGGCATGCCCCGTAATGACCTGCTTTAAGTCAATCAATAAATGCATCTTGTCACATATTGTCATCAAGGTTCAGAAGGAGATATTAACAAATTTATTGTCAGGTAAAATTTACAAGCTTTCTTAGTCAGTCTTGAGATAAAATATCTATTTGATAGTTTCTGTTTACTCAAAAATAGTAAATAACTATCATGCATCAGACATTATGTGACTTATTCATTTAACTTTTTCTTTCTCAAGGAAGAATTAAAATATTTGCCCAAGGTGTTGGGATTTAGTAATATTCTATATTCACTGGCGGTACTACTACTGTTCATTGCTATTCCTATTATTTGAATAAACTCCTTCTGTTTCCATGGTATAGAAAATATGAAGAGCAACGTTGATTCATTGTGAAAGGGTGTAAAAAGTATCTTACAACAGCTATTCCATTAAAAACAGCTGGTTTGTAGAAAATTATAATTTTTATGCAGAATAAAAAAATGCAGAGATAGCAGAGTCTCTTAGCTTAAAAATAACTTTACAGTCTTTTATAAATTAATCTTTCATTGCCACCCCCATGTTTTTTTAAATGTGTGGTAAGCTATTTTATCTATTTTCCCCTTAAGTCACTTTATAAATAGCAATCTCTACGGAAACAAGCAAGTTTCTATGACTCAAAATAAAACTTATCTGTTGGCTGTTTTTTTTTTAATGGCTACTGGAAGGTTAATTATTCATTAAAATAAGGACACATTAGCTCTGCTCAACACAGAGTTCTGGACTGTGTGCTCTTTCAGATCTCTCTTGTAAGTACTGAGACTATGAACAAATCTTCTGAAAATCAGGTATAAGAACAATTGTTTCAGAAGATGCTAAGGTCAGTAAAGTTTTCTATTAGTTAAGGTTACCTAGCACACTGAGAAAGAAGAAGGCAAAAAATTTTCTGTGAGAGCTGGAAGCAAATGTTTCTTCCTAATGCTGAGCTGACTGAAATTGAGCAGATCTCAAGAGCACTGACACTCACAGTACCCAAGTTTCTCCTGTCTGCACAGAGGGAAGTGTGAAGGGAGGTTTGTGCAGGATGGACTATCATCCCAGATACTGCTACCCAGGAGCACTGCTACCTCTGCATTTGCTGAGCATCAAATGCATGGACATGAGTCACTTTCACTGTGTGGACACAGTTTAAGGACATTGCAACCTGAGGCTGCTTCAGAACCTGAGAAGCAGATAAAACTTGTTTGCAGCTCTATGCCAAGTCCACTTTTAATAGAGTGGCTTGGAATAATTCTTTATCTTTTGAAGGCTTGTTTCGTTATTGTATTTGAGGTTTTGATATTGTCATCTACCCTAGTTTTTCTTTAGTAGAGGTGTGTCTGGTTTTCCAGCCACACACATCACTGAAAACTTAAAATGGCTGCCTCAAATTGGCTGGCTGGTGTTGGCTGCTGGAACTTCTCTCTACATGATCCTCTCTTTCTTCTTCCCTTCTTCACCCTCTGATCCATGGCTCTGTCCACTCAAGAAAAGCAAACACTTTTGTGCTGACAAGATTGTTCTGTGGACAAAAACACTTGTCCCAAAGTCAAGGAGCTCACATTTGATCCCTAGAACTCATTTGGCAGGAGATACCAACTCTCCCAAGTTGTCCTCTGACCTCCATGTGTGTGGGGCACGTGTGCCTCTTCACAGAATGAATAAATTTCATACTTTCTTATAAAAAAAACTATTGCTTCCTGGTAAAACACTGCCTTTTCTATAAGAAGATGAGAAGAGGCTGGATATTCACTTCATCATAATCATCCCAAGTTACAAGGATCCTGCACAATGTCTGGTCTGCTGTGTAATGACATTGCATTGTCAGATGGTTTATGTAGAACAATTGGTCGTACATTTGATAAAGGTGTTACATAACTGACACAGAAATGTGTCTATAGAGAATAGAGATGTTTCTCAAGTCTTTAGACATATATTTAGAAATAAAACCTTAAAGTACTAACATCATTGAAATATAGTCACAATATGCATAAATTTATAAACTATATGTGGGTTGTAATGTCCAGATCTCTGTTTTCTCACTGACATTGGGAGTCTGAATTTGGACACTAGGACAGCAGCCATAATTCCAAGATAGCCCTCAGTGCTCCCTAGCAAGGTAGGGGTCAAAGCAGCATGCAGGTGACAGAATTGAGAAATGAATAGCTGTGTAAGTTGTCACGGCTGCACAACTAGCAATATTCAGAAGTAGAATTGAAAGGCATTGTCCCTGGCTGTGTACTATACCCAAGCTGCAAAGGGAGTAGTCAAGTGCTTTAGAGAAGAGAACCAACTCTTTCTTTTCATCCAGCTGAAAAGTAGATCAGGGCAAGTGCTGCAATACAGTTGAGAAACAAGTCCATGAAGATACGTTTCCACAGTGGATATGTCTTGGCAGATACTCTAAGTTTGTGCAACAAGATGCTGATATTGATATTCACAGAAACAAAACCTTAGACTTAACTTATAGGTATCCCTCTGTCATTATTTCTGTCTTCCATTTGGAGGTCTGAACAGCCCCTCTCTGGACACTAGTATTAATTCTCTGACTAAGAGTGAACACAGTGTCCCCTGTACCCTAAATCAGACATACACTGCACATTCTGTTTCTCTTCCATGGCTTAGTCACAGAGGCAACTACAATTCCCCAGATGCTCCTTCTGTGTGGCAAAGTTCTCCTTCCATGACATCCAGGAAGGATTTTCAAGTTAAGTTTAAGAGAGTTTACCCACAAAGATTCTTTTCCTCATGCAAGCATCAAAAACAATGTGAGAAATACAAAACCACTAGTCATAGTTTACCATAAATCTGTCATACCTTCAGGAATTAAATGTGTCACACCCAGAGGCAAGCAGAAAGTCTGGCATACTGATCGAGGGACAGTACAAACTACAGATTACCTGAGCCAAGGCAGATACACAGACAATGGTAACCAACCACTTATTTAAGGCCTAGTGACCTCATGTGTATGAATTTCAGAGAGTGAAGGGTAGAGGTTAGTGTGAAGCATCAAGGAGACAGACATATATAAGACATCCTTAGAAGATGGTAGATTAATATCTCCAGATGTTTTCAAGAGGAAGGATCAAGTGGTAGTGAAGTGTAAACAGCTGTCACTGAAGCTTCTGTGTAGACTGCACCTTGGTGATATACCAAAACCCATTTGTTCCCTATAGAGTGACGAGTTGGAGAACAGCCATGGCACCCAGAATTGCAAGCACAACACAAATTCCAGTGCGTCTGCAGTCTAGAAACAAATGAAACTTTTACCTTTTATATGTGGAGAAAAAAATAACCACAAAATTATGCACATGACAAAGGAAAAATAATCAGTAGTGTTTCTTTATTCACAAACTTGTATTTCATCATTAAAGGGTATCTGCTGTTTCTGTTTATCTCTCTTGGGCACTTAATCAGGAAGAGACCATTCTCATTAAAGACTATTCAAAAGTGGAATTTAGAGTTCAAGTATTTCTGGCAGTCTGGTTTGTGTCTTGGTGTTTCCTACAACTCATAGGATAATAATATGTGTTAGTTGAGAGATTAAAGAAGCTACTGTTCAACTTTAATTGTTTTTTTCTTTTTTTATGGTTTGTTGTTTTTGTTTAGGGTTTTGTTTGCTTGTTTGTTTGTAACTTCAAGGTATTTTCTAGTTTCCAACATCACTTTAAAACTTATAAGGAAATGCATCCTTTTAAAACTATGTTAATGTGTCTCATGTTTTTGAATTTCCTTTCTGTCTTCCTCTCTATCTTTTACACAAATACATTAGCATATGATAGTACAAAATATATCAGTTGAGTTGATACTTTATATGCAATGAGGGAGATTCAATGTAAAGAAAAGCATGTTTTTTATATTGGTAACAACAGATTAATACACACTAGTATATGAAAATACATACCAATGTTTGTGTGTATACTACTTTAGTTGTAGCAGGTGTGTATTTGTGTGTGAGTTACACTAGTGTTCCCTGCTGTTCCTAAAAATGGACTATTTCTACAAATTACTATCTTGTGCTGGAGACAGAACCTGGTTTCTTTGGCCTAGATCCTGGGTCTATTTAAATATCTACTGTGCCCTAAGTACTCTCTTAGGAACTGTAGTGAACATGATAGATACTGTCCCTTCTCTCATGAAGATCACAGTGATGTTGGACTAAACAGACACTAAACACTTTTGCATACAAAATGTTACAAAGGAAAAATGCAAAACCCTATGAGAAAACAAAACAGAGCCCTAATCTGCTGGGGGATGGGGGAGAGCTTTTTTTTTTTTTTTTTTTTTTTTTTTTTTTTTTTAGTAAGAGGAAAGATTGAAGACTGTCAGATAAAGTCTAGGGGGATGGTATGAGTTCAGAGCTTTCCCATAGACAGGGAGAAATGAGACAGGTACCAACCATGAACCAGATTACTGACTTTAGGACAGCATCCAATAACTTGGGGTTAGGATGTTATTACCTCCTTTCATCGGTCTGTGCTGTACACTGGGGATACACAGAAAGGTAGAATTCATTACCTGCTTTAGGGGAGTTCTCTGTAGATTAGGATGGAGAAACCCATACTTGGTCAATAACAAAGCAACAGTTGTTGTAACTCAGTCTATCTCTTTCTCAAAAGATGCTGAGCTGGGAATGGCCAGGAAAAATGAGAGGTATTACTGGAGCTAAACTATGAATTTGCTCTTGTGGGCAAAAAAAGTTCCAAGCCCTTTGCAGGTAGAACCATAGCAAATGAGACAGAATGAGCCAGGCTAGAGAACCAAATGCCCAACAGCTCAGAGTGTGAGAGAAATGCAAAGCTTGAGAACAACATAAGAGGAGACACAATCTTACTTCCTGGACTTTTGTAACATTTATTTTATGTCTAGGAAATTCGGAGTGTGCTAATTAGCTCCCTGTCACTGGAACTATATCTTCTAAGGTGAACTTTAAATGGGTAAAAGGAGAGAAAATCTATTTGGCACCTAGTGTTGAAGGTTTGAGGTTTGGTTTCATGATGAATCAGTCTTAAAATTTATCTCTGGCAAGAGTGCAGACGGTACTGACCTTTCTACCCATGTGGGTTGTGTGGGAGAACAGAAGTTAAGGGGATAGGGTACCCACCCCCTCTTGAAAGTTATGCTTGCTATGATTTAAATCCCCATCTGGGCCCCAACTCCCAGGGTTTCCACTGTTCCCCAAGGCACCGAGTTGGGGCCTCTGCCTTTTATGTATGAACCCCTGGAACTCACCTGAGAGCTGAACTACAGTAGGGAACTGGTCAAGGACTTAAGATGGGAAAGTCTTAGCATATTTGTTTTCTTCTAAGGTCCCCAGAGGCTACTGATGCCCTGGAGGGGTAGCCAAGGTGGGGGGGATGAGTTAAGGCCATAGGGAGTAGGATGGTCTAGCAGGGTGGGGTAGGGGGTAGAGACCTCCTCTTGGAGACAGGGTGGGGAGGAGGTTGGAATGAAAGCAGTCAGAGGGTGGACCAGGAGGGAATAAGATTGAAGAAGAAAAAGAAGAAGAAAAAGTAGAAGAAGGAGGAGGAGGAGGAGGAAGAGGAGGAGGAGGAAGAGGAAGAAGAATTAAATACAAAATGGTGGAAGAAATTAGGGGAACAGATCTTTCTGCAAACCAGGGAACTATAGATCTAAGTTTGTGAATAATGTAGAGTTCAGAATAATGAGATTCACCATCACAAGAAATCAGAAAACACCTGAATGAAATTTAGAGATACTTTATTTTTATCAAAAAGAGTAATATAAACAAGTGAGACACTTTAAAATGTACAGTTTTAAAATAATGAATGTGCTGCATTCATTAATTTCCTTATAACAAAGCAAACTCTTTAAAAGACACACTACAGACATCTAAATATCTCCTCAATGCATATTCAAACATGTTAAGTACAGTTTCAAAACCCTAAGACTATAGATATTTGCCGAAGTTTCTCTCACTAGAAATAACTTTAAATTTTTTTTTATGAAACTAGGTAAGGAATTTACTTGCTTACCTTCTTCATCTATCTAAAAATATATACTTAGTGGCCCAAATAGTAATACTAATAAACTAGTTAATAAATAGTGTACAGTTTGATGAGTAAGTCATGACATTATGCCATACTAAGAAGACATCAGATGTCTAAAATTATGAGATGAGAACACATTGATCCTTCTAGAACTCACACATTTAGAAATTCTAAATAAGGAAATGCATTCTACACAGGTTTCTGCATGACATAGCAGCTTTCTAAAACCATAAAAGTTATATGTCACCCCAGGCTCAGATGTAAGAAAGCTCCTTAACACACCCAAGAAACAACAGTAAAAGAGGTTCCCATTTCATGAGAGAGAGGAAGAGGGTATCTCCATCAACAGCTTCTAACCAAACTTCATTGGTATGTTAAAGCCACAGTCTTCTCATGAACAATAAAAAGGCACTACAGATATATATTCTGGAGACACAATGCAATAGTCACCTTCAACTCAAGACATTTTGAAAGGTTAACAATCAATGATTCTTGACTTACACACTAAAATACCCATAATTTCTAGTAGTTTAACTGATAGGAAAGAATAGGAAATATTCTGCTAAATACACTCATAAGATGAGCAGGAAGCTCCAGGGACAATGGTTTTCTCTTTTTCCATCAAAGCAGGGAGTTCATAAAGAAAACTCATAGGTGGAGAGAATCAGCCCTTCCTTCTTGTCTTCACTGGGGAGAGAGTCCCAAGAAATCCTTTCTATTGACTACTGGCTGTTCTTTTCACTGCAAGTGTATTCCGCTTAGTTTTCTTTTTTTCACTGTTGAGAAAAGAATTATATCAGTAACTAAAATTCTTCGGTTTATCCTAACACACACACACACACACACACACACACACACACGAGTAATGAGTTCTGGGTTATTGCAACATTCCAGAATAACAACTTTCCCTTCTGAATCCTTTTATTCTAAGCCCAGTTTAGAATGTGATACCGGAATCTCAACTCATACAGGCAGAATAACGACCTTGCCCGCTGCAGAGACTAAGAGACCTCAAAGACCAAGATAGCAAGTACCTGTCCAATATTTTCTGAATGATTTTCTTTATCAATGGAGCTTCTGGGTCCAGACAGACATCCTGCTGCTGGTTCTTCAGCTTCGCTCTGAGGAGGGAAAACAGAATGCACAGATGAGCTCCGGTGACTGAAGACCCCAGGGTAGGAGGGTGTGTGTGTGTCCTGAACTTCCATTTCCCAAGATCACCTGCACCCAGAGCACAATCACAGAACAGAACTCACATGACTTCCACCGTGGGACACTGTGGACCTGCCGGGATCACCTCCAAATTAGCGATCATTTTGGGATTAATTCTTGGAGTTACGGTTAAGCAAACACAGCGCAGCTCTGTTGCAGCGGCTATGGCTGAGAAAGGAGCAGCTGCGGAGGAGACAAGATTATAGGAGGGTGCTGGAAGAGCCTTCCCCCCCGCCCCCCCGCTCCTGGGACTAGCTGACTGAGATGGCCCGTTGGGGTGTGTCAGGCACCCTGTGCCACAGAGGTGCTGCGCCCTCACCTTCAGTTAGATGCTGGTGCGGCAGTATGAGCAGCAACAGAAACGCCAGCTGCGTGAATGGCAAGCTGGAACGACTAGGGAGGCGGGCGGAGCTGCAGTGCTGGAGGCTCATTGTGAACAAGATCCGGGACCAGGGAGCACCAGTTCGGGATATGCTGGAGGAGGTGTGAAGATTGGGGCTCTGTAGAGCACTATGGTATTCTCAGACCAGCTGCACTCCTTTTATCTGTTCTCCTCTCTTCCTTCAGGCAGGAAACTGGAGCTTGAAGATGCTGGGGAAATTCCCTGGACTTGAAGTTAGGGGATGGGGGGGGGGGGGGCCCAGGGGGGCGGGGCAATGGGATTGGGGCGGGAGGATGGCTAGGAGGAGTGGCCCTTTGCCAAATCAGAGGATGTTGTAGTTCCGCCCCAGGAGGAGAAGGCTGCTGCTCTGGGTCAGACTCCTCTAGGAGACCTCTCCCTCTCCGATGTTAGGGTACTAAGGCAGGCTTTCGCAGCAAGGAGGACAGAACTCTGAGGATGCCCTTATTTTCCTTGTAGGAAGACTGGAGCCAAAGGCAGGAATTTTGACTTTAGAAATCCTTCCACAGGTCTTTAACTGTTATTACTACAAACACTATTGTTGGCACCTGGGAGATGGCTCAGCAGTTAAGAGAACTGCTAGCTGTTGCAGAGGACCAGGGTTTGGCTCCGCCTAGGACCACATTGCGGCTCAAAAGCTCCTCTAGCTCCAGTTTCAGGGGATCCCACATTGTCTTTTGGCCTCCTTGGGACATCTGCATCTACTTGGTACACATACAGATAAGCTGACATACACACATGCTCATAAATAAAAATACATTTGAAATGTGTGTTTAAAAAAAAATGAAGACTATTTTTGTTCAAGAAATGTAATCCCTGACTAGAACTGAATTTAAAAAAAAAAAGTTGCCCTCTCTTTGTATGTGGGTTACTTAATGATTCTTTGGGATTCTGCCAACTTTGAAAGCCAAGAAACTATAAAAGTGCTTTTACTTCCACTTAAACCAGTGGCAGGAATGGCCTTCAAGATAAAAGCTGCTTTCTGGAAGCCCCGTTCTTGTAATTGTTTGGGTTAATAAACAACTTCACCGATGACCCAGCAAATTGCTTTGGGAGGAAGATAAATACTTTGTACCTGGCGGTTCCTTTTGCTATTCTCTTAGGCGCAGTCCTGTTCTTCATCTGAGTAAGGTACTCGGAATCTGAAGCAATACTAGGGGTCCCTTGCTGTGCTTTCTAATGTGGCTCCTCTGCCAGGTGAAAATTTGACAGTTTGTAGAAGCTAAAGGAGGTCAGTGCAGCTGAGGGACTCGACTGTGGGACTTAAGTTTGGTGCATGGGTTTGATTCAATTTGCCAGCAAGATAGCATCCATTCTGACTCCCTTCAAGCAACTTCTTGGAAGACAGAGGGAGAGATGATTTCCCCAAAGGCTTTGGGGAATTTTCAGCTGATCAGTGGAGGTTAAGGATGCTCTAGAGTCTGGAGGAACTACCTGATGTTGAAAGATGAGATGACTTCCTGTAACTAAAGGCCTTCACACCAAGGCAGTCATGGTTATAACATTAAGGAGTACACTGTCTTTCTTTATAGAGGTATAACAGATCTCCTCTGGATGGTTCTCAAAACCTTTGGCCATGTGGTAGCCTGGCAGAGGAAGTCTGTAAACATGACAGCCTTACAAATAGAGTCCTGGAAGGAAATTGTTTTTCTCATCCCCTGTAACCATGGGAACTGCCAGCAACTCCACTCATCTTATTTGGAATAAGAGCACTTCCTTTGCTGAGCAGGAAGTGATATTAGACTTTTGAACTTATATTCTGGAAGGGAACTTAGTCTAGGCGAAGGAAGTCGGGAGGTTTGGTGAGCATATTGTGAGAAGCTAATGGGAAGTTCTGAGTCCACCTGCTTCCTGATACCATCAGCATCATACCTGACTCAACAAATGTAATCCTTCATCCTTCTGGGGAGTGACAATCTGTAACAAGCAGCCCATAGATTTATTAAATTGGACATTTAGAGATTAGAATATATCTACAGGCAAAATATAAGCTTAATTTCAATTTCTTTTAAAATATGGCTTTAAAGATATTGAGTAATTAAACTCACCCACAGAGAATAAACCACATTATGCTAAAACTTCATGAAAAATATAGTTTAGTGACACAAGCTACTGTATATTTAAGGTGTGTGTACACATGTACCCAAGTTAGTTCCAAATAGCATATTTTAAATATAACTGAGCATACAAATTAATTTTGGCACGAAGTGGTAAGACTGGGTAAAATCTACAAAATGAGAGTGTCAGCTTCCCCTAACACTATTCTAGGTGTGTATCTCTCACAGGGGTTGCTCCCTGTACCCATTTGTTATTGGTTACTTATAGAACAGAAGAAGCAAAAGAAAAGACATCTGTGGCTGGCACTCTGGTAATAGAAAATCCACTCTGTAAAGGAGACTGTTGTGTTGCCACACCTAATCAGGAAGCAGTATGTAACCTAAGCTGGCTTTGCATTGAAATTGTTCTGGTCCACTGGAATGCCTGGCTCCTGTGTAGGCATCTTTGGTTTATGTAAGGACATGGAAAGATGTAGGTGACAAAAGATTCTTTGAGTTTGAGGATGACATCATTAACACTCAGTGAGTACAAAGTATTTAAAATAATTACGTTTATGTTGCCAATTTAAAGTGAAGTCTGTCGTATTAACCCCACTACATCCAAGTAGTAGAAGAAAGCTGGGTTACTTATTCCCGACAATAATAAAGCAATCAATAAACCTATGGTCAGCCTTATAGCCCTAAATGTTTTCAATTATAATTTTAGTTTAATGCCACAGTTATTTAATATAAATGAAAACACTTGAAATGGCTTGCAGCATCAAACCGCATTCATGCCTCACACCGATAATTCTTTGAAACAAATGAGAAAAACTTTCTTCACTCTTAATTAGTTACAGAAATCAAGGCCAGTAAAAAAAAAAAAAAAAAAAAAAAAAATGCAGACTTGGAAGTTGAGCCACTTAGCCAATCTGTTACCAGAATGTTTTAATGGTTTCCAGGTTCCAAACTACATTTTTTTTTAATAGTTGTTAGCACACATCCCCCAGAGATTCTCCATAATTTTGCTAACCACTGCCTTGCACTGCCGAATAGTACTTTTAAAACCATTGAATTCCCCAGTCTATCTATGTGTGTCTTTGAGGGGCTCAGTAATATTAAGGTCCCAAAGACTTTCAAGTAACCTCAAATGTTCCCCCTTTTAAGGTCAACCAAAAATGCTTTTCTGACAAACCCATCTGAACATCTCCCTTTCATCTGTGGTCATTGAGCATCTGCTATTCTGGCTATAACTGCTTTGTGAAACAGTTTATAATCACCCATTAATGCAGCTTCTGCCTTTCTTAAGTCCACTGTGTCTTTTACATTCAAGGATAGTGATTTCTTTTACTCTGATAACCTGTTGTGTTTCAAGTTCATTCCTAAGTGGTCTGTGAGGATCTAACAATGTGGAATGCAGGTCGTCTTTTCTTTTATAGTGTTCTGAACTCTCACAGTAGACCTTAAAAGTAGAGAGAAAAATAAACAGGACAACTGTGTGTTCTTAATCCCCCTACTGTTAGAACCCCACTACTTTTGTTTGGCTTACTGTCATGTTGGCAATCATTTCCTTCTTATTCCCAAAGGAAATTCAAATGATAATTTTCATTCTTTATATTCTGCACTACTCAGCCCAGACTACTGAGAACCCAGGGGGAAAAAAACTTGATATTAAAGAAACAAAAATTATATTGACCATGTTATCTATTTTCTGTGATCTTAATGTTCCTGGAGAAAAACAACAAAGATGACAACTTGATTAACTTATACTGTGTTGATTGTCAGTAGTGTGACAGGGTTACTCTAAAATGCTCTCTCCCAGCAATCAGTGTGACCTTGAATTATATGACTGAAGATACGGTATAGGCCCTTATAGGTAGTATTTTGCTAAATTCCCATTTTCCATTGTATTCACTAATCTTTATGTGGTGTTTAAGAAATACTATGCTAGTGTAGCAATTAAGGATGCTGATATAACAATATGAGGAAAAAAGTAAACAGCTGTGGAAAGGTCACTTCCTCATATGCAGAAGGAAAAAGCCAGTGAATTTGGGTTAACTTTCCAATGACTATGAATCTGTCTTCCTCTCTATATACTAGGTTTGACCACCCAGTGAAGAGGCAGTAACTTTGAGGGAATAGATTTGCTTCATATTTTCTTCACCATTAAATTAAATGTCAAGAATATTTTCCTCTTCTTCCTCTTCCTCCAAACCCTCCACCTCTTCCTCCTGATCCTCCTTCTCCTGCTTCTTTTATCATTATCCATTATTTCCTTGCCATCCATTTCTGATCAATTCTACTTGAGAAAGGAGTAAATCAATGAACCTCGACTGAGCCCACACTGACTGAGGTTTACCATAGGTAACCATAGTTGGTCAGATCCTTGCCAGTTCCTGGGTAGATGGGGTCACTAGCACACTGCCCCTGTTTGTGGAGATATCTAAATCTAAAACCTTTTAGTGAACAATACCAAGTGATGAATATGGGGAGAAAGATGGGAATTAAAGTTTTAAATATTTCTGAAAGCCTTGGGCTCTCAAAAGAGGAAGAATTTATAGCTTTCTTCAGAAATTCCATCTTGCTAAGCAAAAAATAAGTATATAAGTAAAAGAAAAAGATATTTTCAGTGGTAGCTGTTCCAGCTAATTTTGGGGGATGGCGAGGAGGGCTCAGGAGCAATGGATATTTGCTGCTATTGCAGAGACTCAAGTTCAGTTCCTAGACCCTATATCAGGCAGTTCAGGACTTCCTATTACTTCAATTCTAGGGGATCCAATGTCTTCTTCAGGGGACACTTGTATATACTGGGTACACATACATACATATGGAATAATTTTTTTAAAAATCTTAATGAGTTTTGAGAAAGAATTTTATGATGCTGTAAAAGTCCTTTATAAGGAAGTTAGACTGTTAGCACTGTGCTTAGTAATGGCTGTTGGATACATGGTTTCTAACCACCACTGCCTTGACTTCTCAGCTTCTTGACTAAGAG